AGCTTCATGGGGTTGAGGCAGCACCCAGTGTAGAGCCTCCAGAAGCGGGTACTGGAGAAAATACCAAAGATCAGCAGCACTGCAGCTGGTCCCAGCAGAAACGTCACGCCATACGCAAAGTTCTGGTCGTGGTTGCAGGGACACTGAAAGGAGACCATGGAGAAAATCCGCTCCCCGCCTATAGTCAGCAGAGCCATGAAACTGTAGCCGATTGTGGTTTTCTGATTCACGAGGAAACGCAGGATACTCTGGAAGTTTTCCATGATGTCGGCCAATAAATCGAGTGAAACAGCAGAGAGATAAAAGTGTCAGTGTGGAGTCACTTCCTTTGTGCTGTTTTCCACAGCCAGACCAAAGTCATCTGCCAAGCCTGGATGTGCCCCTCCCTTTGGCATTCGATCTTCTCTGCAGGCCCCTCCCTCAGTGAGGCTGCACTTCCTCCCAAACAATTCCTCTTTTATTACCATATCTATCCCATCTCCAGAGATAAAAAGAAAGGTGAACACGTTCAACTCGGCTTTCTTCTCTTTTACCATCCCTCTTTACTCCCCCCCCTCCCCCACCCCAGCACCAGCACAGGTGAGTCAGTCATGGAGAAAAATCCTGTTAGTTCAGTTACTCTGGTTGTCTTTGAACTCTGATGCAATCCAGACGGTAACCTGAAACTATGTGAGGAGCAAAAACATGACAGAACATGCAAAGTGTGAAGACACACGGTCAACAGCAACACAAGAGCACGTTGTTAGAGCGCACACCAGCGCGTCTGCAGTAGACGGGCAGCACTTAGCGTGCGGGGGAAGTGCAAACATCTGTTCCTGTCCCTCAGGACTGAAGCTTGCAGTGCATCAAAGCTGCACTCGAATCTGTTCATGTGTGAAACACATCAGCAGTTCCTGCAGCTCACGTTTGTGTTTTGAAAACGAGACTGGACTGATGTTCGTATGTCTACGTCTTTGTCAGTGATGTGAATTAAACATGAAACCCATCAAGGTGTGATCTGTCTGTGTGGACAGGAAACGTGGTGTCAGAGTGGTGTGACTGTTGGTGGCCTGTAGGCGTTCAAACATTAGCCCAGAGCAGGTTTGTCATGAGGTTTCATTTACATCACTGATCTGTTTTAGTCGAGCTTTGACGTGCCCTCTCATTCTGTTCTATTTTACTCTGCGAAGCTTGATTATAAAGTTTATAAAGTTATAATTCATGAAAATGCAAATTAATTCATAACTCTGGATTTCTTTGCTTGTTCCGTCTTTCAAATAAACCAACCACTCGAGTTACAGACTGATCGTTTCTTTACTCGTTATTTTTAATAATTATTTCCCCGACTGTAGTTTTTAAAATATTTCGGTTTTCATTCATTTTTGGAGGCTACTGAAATAATAGAAAAACCTTCAGATCCACATACTTTGAGATTGCAGGCAGCACCCAGTGTGAGCAAAAACATACATTATATTACTCACCATCCAAATCATTGAATTCAGGTGTTCTAATCACTTTTATACACAGATGTATAAAATCAAGCACAAAGGTAGGCCACGCAGCATCACAGAGTGGGGTTCAGTGGATGGTGACACCCATAGTTTAAATTCAATTCAATTTTATTTATATAGCACCAAATCACAACAAAAGTCGCCTCAAGGCGCTTCATAGTGTGCAGAGTCAGTCCCTACAGACCTCCAAACCTCGTGTGGCTTGATGGAAGAAGTTTCCATGGCCGAGCTGCATCACATCACCAATAATGCGATGCGCAGGACGCAGCGCTGGAAAGCACTTAACCGTAGAGCAGTGACAGATCAGACTAATCCAATCGTGTCTGGGAGCTGCTGGGAGTCCTTGTCTGACTTCATTGTGCCACCAGAGTAAAGTTTGGTGCAGGGTGAAGTATGATGTGGGGTCTTTTTCAGGATTTGGGTGCAGGCCCTTAGTTGCAATGAAAGGGACTCCTAATGGTTCAACATACCAAGAAACTTTGGACAATTTCACACAAAGTTCCCACAAAATTGGGAAAGTCTGGGAATATCCCCGTCCTGCCTGTTAAAGACATGAATGAGTGAGCCTGGTGTGGAAGACGTTGACTGGCCTGCACAGAGTTCTGGCCTCAACACTTTGAAATAGCTTTGGGATGAAACAGAATAGAGACTGCGAGCCACACAGTCTCATCCAACATCA